TCTATACTTGCAAGATGAGGATATCATCTAAGCTATTCAGACATGAAGCAGCATTTTTAATGGTAAAGCATCTCCTCAAAGCAACACAAAGCAAACATCAAATTTCATATTCTGTAAGAGTAATATCTACCAAAAGCTGAGATGAAATAATATTTCATTTCACACATCCTATAAAGCAGTTTCACTCAGATGTGAAACATTCTCCTCCTTTTGCATTGCTACACAAATATTTCATTGCCTTTTCATAATGAAAAGCAACTAAAAAACAATGTAAAAGTTCAACTCAAACACATTTATTGTTTTTAATGAGATGAAGGTCAAATTTTCACATTATTTCAATTTAAATGATCACAAAGACTACTATTAAATAGGTAACCACATTTTAAAACTATGGTTGAACTCTAAAATATATATGTTATTAATGCTGCTAATTAAAGCAGAGAATATTAATTCTTGTATCAGAAAGAATTCTTCAGTAAGGATGTAATTAGCTATAAACTGAAGGACTACGTTTACTTTCCTTAGCTTCTCCCTTATGAACTTCTGCCAAACCATAAAATTTTGGAAAAAGGTTGAAAGCAAACAGATAAGGAGCCCGTAAAACATGAATATGCAGAATCAGAGGAATTGCCTTTATTTATGCATTTTTCTACATCCTTTGATGGACCTCTTAGTCTATGGACTTCTGATCAATTTATTTTGGTGGAGTCAATGGGGACAAAAGTCTAAGTATTGTTGGAAACAACAGATAGCTTATTCTGGAAATTCCTGGATACACAGACATTTTTTTACGAATGTTTAAAAAGCTCATGGGAAAATATCCTGTGAATGAAGTGGGGCAGAGCAGACCAATCACCTTGCACTGCTCAGGAAGCGTGTTCCTCTTAGAATAGAAGAAACTGATGTGTACATTTGAAAACTGAAGTTCTCGTACAAAGTAATCCATATAAAGAAGAAGCACTGCTTCTATAGTATTCTCAACAGAGAAATAATCTTGTTTGAACATCCCCATAGAGTGAAAACACAGGAGACACTCAGGTGCTTGAGTGGCAAATACCTGAAGCCTGTGAAGAAAGTGGTTTTAGTTTACTGCCAAACTTTCCTCATGTACTAGAAGACTTCATGGTCTGAGGTCATTTTACGGTACCTTCAGACATGTTTTATTCTCATAGCAAAGGGCTGTCCTTGCAATAAAGGAGTTCTTTAACATACCTTGCTTTGCTTTCTTTCTATTCTCTATCATTCAGATACATGACGTAAAACAACACTAAAATGGCTCAACCCTAACAAAACACGGCTTACTTCACAAAGCACTTACTGCCCTGGCATTTTTTATTCTCATCCTGGGGTACACCACCTATCCATGGCTTCACAGGGGCATCACTGCAGGTGGGACTGAAACATTTTCACCTCAAATGGGATGAAGAAACTGCAACATGATGTGCCCACAGGAGCCTCAGAAGCTGGGCTGTGTCAAACCACCTGGGACAGCAGACATACTGTCTCCAAACTCAGCTAAAGGCCTCCGCTAGGAAAGAATTACAGTCAGTGCATTTTTAAGCCTACAACTGAGGGGCCGTGGAGCTCCCCCCTTCGCTATACTGGTCCCCTCGGGGCGGGGGTGCTGCTAGAGCAGAATGAAGAGCAGATGCAGCAGATACAGGCACATAAAGGTGGGTCCGATGCTGGGGGGCCGGGCAGGGATGTCTCATGCTAAGGGAGGGCGGGAGCACACAAACCATGCTGTGGGGAGTGGCACGGCCGAAAAGCGGGTCCACATCTCACCGGGGGGGGGGGGGGGGGGAAGGAGACACGACACAACCCAGAGCGGGGTCATATACGGGGGAAGGACTGTGACCCAAAACGGGGGAGGCTTACATCTCACATGGGAGAGAACACGACCCAAAGTGGGGGGGGCTTACACTGAGGGGCATGAACCAAAACGGGGTCCACATCACACCGGGGGGGGGGCGGTGTAACAAAACCCAAAGGGGTGGGGGGAGATCCCACACGCAGGGAGGTGCCTAGATCCAAAAGGGGGTTTTACATCCCCCGCAGCACCCGAGCGGGCGACCCCAGGGGGACCCTGACCCCCTCACGCCCCCCACCCCACTGCGACACGGGGAGGGGGGGGGGGACGGACACTGGCCACGCCCCCGGCCGTAAAGGGGCGGGGCCACGCGGGGGCGTGGCTCCCCTCCCCCTCTCCATCGGCTGCAGGCGGGTGGTAAAAGGGGGGGCGGGGGTGAGGCGGTGTGAGGGGGGAAAAGGGTCGCGTCTCCCCCCCCCCCCCCCCCCCCAGATACGGCCGCGGCCTTTTCCACCTGCGACACACGGCGCTCGCCCACCACCTCCCGCGATTAAGTGATGAGAAGCAAAGCCGCCACCAACACACGCAACGCCCCCACCTCTCCCTCCCTCCCTCCCTCCCTCCCTCCCTCTCCCCTCAGCCCGCCGGGCCTGGCAGCCCCTACCCGAAGCCATGGCGGCGGTTCAACCGGGCTGGGGGAAAACGCTGCAGGAACGGGGCCCGAGCGCCGCGCCGGCCGCGCGCACCCCCGGGCACCCGCAGCTCGCGCGGACTGCGGGGCCGGGCAGCCAATCCGCGCGCGCGGCGCCTACCACTCTCGCCTGGGGGAGGGGGGAGCGTACCAAGTGACGGCGGTCGGAGGGGAAGCGGAGGGGTGGGTGTTGTACCAGCGGCGAGTGCTCGGAGTTGTACGGGCGGGCTGGGTTTTCGGGGGCGGTGCAGGGAGAGGCCGGGAATCCCTTAAATTAGTTTAATTAATGAACAGGAGGTGCTTGGTGAGGGTGCTGGGAGGGAAGCGGGGGGGCTGGAAGCCGGGCATCCGCCCCAGCAGCACCCCCCGGGTCTCTCTCGGCGCCCTGATTGTGCATCGCCCTTTGGGCCGGAGGGGGCTGCCGGCGTTCCGAAAGGGAATTCACCACGCCAAACTTCACAGCAGCCGGGGGGAAAGGTCCTCGCTACGTTTTGGGCGTGCCCAGCCAGGAAAAGAAGTGAGATGCTAAAATGGAGTTAAAGAAAACATCCAGAATCTGGGTCCTAAAGAGAAAAACAAAACAACACACACACACAAAAAAAAACAACCAAACAAACAAAAACAACCAAAAAAAACAGGCTTGCTAGGATTTCTTACTCTTAAAAAGGCAAATATTGACTTGGAGAATGACTTTCTAGGGAAAGGGATCATGATCTTGGAAGCCACATCTCTGAAACGAGCCATTGCTTCAGAAAGGAAGATTAATGAGAAACGAGCTGAAATGACGGCAGAAGCCACGTTGGTTATTTCATCTGATCGGGTTTTTTAGCGGTCATATTTCTTGTTTCAGATCAAGCTACTTTCTTGCAAGAGTTGTAGAGGGAAAGTTAACAGTTGCACATTTTCTGTCTAGTCACAGTCTGCAGGTGCATCAGCTGGGAAAACGGTGAGTGCAGCGAGGTTTTACCCTGCTGTGTTTTTCTTTTTTTTTTTTTTTTTTTTTTTAAAAAAAAAAAAAAAGGCGCTGAAGAACATTCTCTGATTTCAACTGAATGGATTAAGCAGATTGGCAACAAAGTTGAGCTGTTTCTTTCCCTCCTGGGTGCAGCAGTGGGAAGCAAATCCCAACACCACAACCTAAAATAAATTTCTTCAAAACAAGCAGTGACTAGAATGATTAATTTAAAAAAAGAGGTTGAGCTGTCTGCCCATCTTTCAGTTTCTCCTTGAAAAACTTCATCTCTTCCAGCCACAATGTCTTCTGTCATGCCATGAGCCTTCCTGTGACTGCAACAACCTGGGACCTCACAAAGCTGCCTTCGTAATGCACCATCGGGATTAGGGCAGATCCTAAACAATGCACAGAGCCTCTCAGTGCCTTAACATTCCTCAGAGATTAAAATGAAAAATGGCATTAGTTGAGACACAGTGACAAGCTCTGTTCTCCTGCTGATAGATCTGTGCTGTGCTCTCCTGTTGCTTTCACAAATCTTTGAAGCTGGGGTGGCAAAAAGATGTCTGCCTTTCAACCTTCTGCTCATCCCCCTTGACTGTAAGAGATCCCAGCTGCTTCAAACTCTTTCCCCACTTTGCAAAATCAGAGGGGGTGTGGGAAGGCGTGTTTCTTTTGATCCTTCCCATGTAGATGAGACCTCGCGGATCTCTTGTTAGACTTGAACCAGCAGCCAGCGACTGGGGTCGTGTCCGGAGGAGGAGGTGGTGTCAGGGGAGCGTTTCTGCCACGTAACTGTTCATGGCGAGCAGATGTAGGTCAAAGCACCAGGAACTGGGCAATGGGAGCCACATTCTCTGCTCACTGCTGGGGGCCTCCCACCGCCCTTGGAGCAAAGCCTCTATTTCTCCCCGATTCTCACTTTCTTCCTGTACATCCCTCTCCTCATGCAGGGGCTTCTCAGGGTGAGGGGCTCCCATGCCAGAGCACTCCTCCATCTGCCGCTTCCCTTCAGGCAGTGGTGTGTTCAGCACAGAACCATAGACAAACAGCAAAGTTGATGCCACTTCAGCATGTTTAGCCTGGTTTGTAACACGGTGACATGGAGGAGGCCTGTCTTTGGGCAGGCAACCCCGCCCTCTTTGCTGTGCCAGCGAGGGTGGGTGGGTGGACGCAGCTCGGGCATAGGCCATCCTTTCCACCTCCATCCGTCACACCTGAAAGGAAACACTTGGCCTTTCCAAGCAGCCTAACCGGGTGCCACGGCACAGCAGTGGGGAGGTGCGTGGGGGCAGCCGCATCCCCGGGGGAGGCTGTACATGGTGGTAACCCAGCCTGGGGCGGGCTTCCAGCGATAGCCCGCTCCTCCTGCGGGGATATCTTTCCCTTCTGAAGGGGAAGGAAAATAATAATTTTAAAATTGTAAAAAGAAAGGGGGGGGGGAGGGAGGAAGGCAAAACACCGTCTCCATGGTAACGGTGGCGCCGCAGCGCCCCGCGTTGCCGCGGCGACGCCGCAGGCCTTCCGGCAGCGGCCGGAAGTGGCGAGGTGCGCGGCAGCATGGCTGAAGGCCGAGGGCGGCCGCCGGTCGCCGCCACGCTCACGCTGCTGTTGTCGCTTGGCGTCTCCGTGCCCGGGCTGCTGCGGGCCGGGCCCGCCGCCCGCTCCGCCGCCTCGTTGCGGCCTGCCGCCCTGCGCTCGGGGGAAGGTGAGCGGGGGGCCGCTGGGCTGGGGCAGCCTCCGCCTCGGTTCCCCCGGAGCCCCCACTAGGCCTTTGCCTCCCTCCTCACCGGAGCCCCTTGGCCGCCCCTCCTCAGCCCCCGTGTCTGGGCACCCCCTCACGGAGCCCGCGGCCCGCTCCGTGGGCCTTCGCCAGGTCCCTGTGCGCCGTGCCCCCCCGCTCCCCCTGAGCTGCGCCGAGCCTGCCGGGCACCATCCCAGGGATATGCTTTCTTCGGTCCCTGTGGTACTCCCAGAAGGAGTTTTGATCACGGTTTTAATTCCCGTGTTCCTACTTTGCAGTGATTTCTTTTAGCAGCCTGGTGCTCTGAGCCAATGGGTGAATCCTGCCACCTCCTCACGTGTCTCCCACGGCGCAGTCCGCTTGCACCATGTCTCTCAACTGCTGTTTTTCTGGCTATGGGAGGGAGGTGGAGAACTCTGCCTCGGTCCCCACTGATTCCCCAGGAGAACAGCTAACCAGGGGGCCTGGGAACACTTCTGAGGCCTGGTAACCACCAGGCATTTGTTGTGAGAAAAATCAGCCTTCTAGCACTTGAAGTGTTTATCTTTTAAGCAAGATCATATTTACCGTAACAGTCATTTTTACGTTTCTTGCCTTCTCTCTTAATGAGACTTAAATTTGCTGCAGATACTGTTGCTTTTTTTCCAGGCAGCTTCCCAGAAAGCAGCATGTCAGTCCATATGTCTGCAATACCCAAGATAGCACTTGTTTTAACTCTATTTGGTTATTTATGCCTGGTTTTAAAGGCCTCAAGTTCCTCCTTTCCACCACCAGGATAGAAATGAACGCTATTAATTAATCCTGTAGGCTGACTCTCCCTCAGCTCTAGCATGTCATCTCAGTGGTTTAAAACAAATTCATTGCTGCTCTGCCTTTCTAATGTGCTGGTGTGCTCAGTTCACAGGTTAGTTACCTACATCTTTGTCTATGAAGACCTGATATCCTTGACCTGCGGTGCCATTATCATCTGGTATTTTGCTGGCAGCTTTGAGAAGAACGTTGGCACTGTGAAGCACTGCTTCCTCACCATCGCATTTGCTGTCCTCTCCGCCCTCCTGTTCCTCTTACTCGAGACCATTGTCTTGAGGGTGACAGAGGTGGAGGATGCCAAAGGATTCATGCCAGTAGCTTTTGCTATGTTGGGTGTGTCCACCACCCGCTCGCAGATGAAGAGGACCCTGTTTTTTGGGGTTAGAGTTCCAGTGATGCTGGTGCCATGGTTTATGCTCTGTATAGCATGGTTTATCCCCCACTCTTCTCTCTTGAGTAACCTGTGTGGGCTCCTAACCGGAGAAGCCTGTATCCTTTCCAAGTGCGAAGCCCTGAACCAGAGTGGGATCACTGGTTCACGAGGCAGAGGACGTGCTGTGGTTCTCGTTGCCAAGATGCCCTTACGGTGTTTCTTGGGCTCTTCTTCATTAAACTCTCACTGGCTTTGCCAGTCCTCATTACACCCAGTTCTCCATTTGTTTTTCACCTCCCACTTCCCCTGTGGCTTTAGCCTACACAGAGAATGTGGAGCTGGGAAGGGTGATGGTCTGTGACAATGGCACTGGGTAGAACTGGGAGAATTCCCCAGGGAAAGTGGTTTGTGGCCAGACGGGAACTGTGTGTGAGGCTGTGTTAAAAATTAGTGTGTTTTGTCTGCAGTCCTCCTTAATGTGCTGCTGATTTCAGATGGCCTTGGATACTGTTTCTGCTTGGATTTTCCAGAGTCGGTGGGCTCTAAGCTGGACCGGGTGTTCCCTTTCAGCCTGCTAAAGAGGATACCAGGGCTGAAATATATCCCAGGGTCCTTAGCAGAGAGAAGAGCCCTTGAAAGTAGCAAGTAAGTACAAGAGTTCCTGTGAAAGATCTTACAGGGGAGTTTTGAGGCGTAAATGGAGGCATTAAATAGCCTTTAAAAGCTGTATTGTGCTTGTTGTGTCCATATCCTGGGTATTAGGGAGAACAGAGTGACCCACTGATGTTACTCTGGTGACATTACTGTGACTAATACATTATCACAGTTTAACTCAACCAGGTCTTTCAGTGAAAGCTAAATTGAGGTGAAAGACCTCTCATTTGCTGCAAGGGCAGTCTGTACACATGTGAAGGTATTGCAGCTCGGCTGATGTGAGAACTAAGTTGTGCAGTTCTGCCCTAACATTAGGACTTACAGCATTTGTTCCTGGCTGTGTGGCTCCCAGGGGTGTGATCTTTATCTCTCTGTGCCCCACCTCACCTTCCAGGAATGCTGTGAAGTGAGTTGTGTCCAAATCTATGTAGGAGCAGGGCATTATAAATTAAAGATGTCACTTACGAAGTTCAATGTAGACCTTTCAATGCATGTTTTCAGTGTTAAAGCAAGAGTGCTTTACCAAAGAAAACCCTGGGGCCTGGGACTGACATTCAGGAATGGTTTTAGGTTTGTGTATATCACAAGCCATGAGAACTCACTTGTATTCTAAAAAGCTTGGAAATGTAGGTCAAATTTTTCCCTGTTCTAAGATGTCATTTCAGTTTCACAGAGGAAGGATAGTTTTCTATTAAGGGTTAAAATCTGTGTATTGTTTAAGCCATCAGCTCACTGTAAAGCTTCTTTGAAATGGAGGTTTGCATCTGCCCTCACTCATGGGGAAACCATAAAACAAACCCTTGCCTGCAGCAGGACTGTAACCCAGATCCATCAGGGCGCTCAAACATGTGGGTGCTTGCAGGGGAGGCCAGGCAGATCCAGCAGCATTTGTGGTTTTACTCTCTCCCTTCAGTGCAAGTGCTGCTTTTGGGAGGAGGAACTGTCTCGCTGTATGCTGAGCCTGTGTCTGCATCAGTCTAAAGTTTCTGCTAATAACTGTTGTGCACAGCATCTCAGCTCTGTGTCTAAACCTGCTTTCTTTAGGTGAGATGACATAAATAGACTGTTCTGGCTCAAAGGTATTTACATAAACATTTGACTATCAAGCAGGACGTGGGAAGGTGTTTCTAGGATGTTTCCATTTCTGCAGCTGAATTTGCATGTCTGTCTTAAACACAAGTTCTGTATGTGCTTATGTGGCTTAATTTTTATTATTTTGATTCTTATTAGGAAGTAAGAGCTCTTGGTGGTTTGGGCTTTGGGTTTTCTTCTCTAAGTTTTCATAATACTTCAGGCATCAGCTTGCCACCAAACGGGAGACATTTTGAGGAGGCCCAGGCTTTGGCATCATGTTTGTGTCCACAGATAAAAAAAAACCTAAACCAAAACAGAAACCCATACAAAACCAAACCCACACCCCAAATAATAAAAAAAAAAAATAATCCAAGCCTGAAAACCCCATCATGAGCCAATCTTCTTCTTGCTGGAAACCTGAATATTGTCTTGATTCTCAGCACTCAGTGCTGCGTGTGGGCTGAGCAGGACTTCTGAAGTCACAGAGGCTTTGGCTTCTAGGCAGATTGCTTCTCTCTTGATATGTTTCATTGGGATGAGTCATGCCTTCTGTTGGCAAAGGCTGTTTCTAGACCTCACTTCTGAATGATTAATTTTATTTGTAACTCTCCTCCTTCCCTTTTCGGTCTATAGCCTGGGCTCCTTCTCTCACCAAAGGCTTTTATGGCTTCTTGAGAAATAACACTTGGCAGCTGTGACTTCTCCTGATTATTAACTTAGCAGATGTGTTGTTCAGTGGAAGTCAAGGAGGATGTATACGGAAATCTTAAAGCACATTGCAGTTTGGCTTGCATATTCCTTGCACAAAGCGACTTGGGGCCAAGAAATGTGCTTGTTCAGTGGGTGTGGAATTGGTGTGGGTTGGGAGTGGGAACATCTGTCCTGGAAAGCCAGTAAACCTATTTTTACTCAAGTCCTGCTTATACTAAGAGCTTTTCTTGTTGTAATGAACCTCTCTTGGATTGCAGTGACCCTTTTGGGCACTGGTCAGGAGGAAATTTACCCCCAGGGCACTTCCAGCTCTAATTAGGCAATGCCAGTTCTGAACACAGTGTAACCTTATGTTTTCTTCCTGCCCAGGATTAACCCTGCACGGGGCACCTACCCCACCCAAAGCTACTACTGCTCTTCCCCACCTCCAGCTCTCCCTGCTTTCCAGATGCAGCACCCCGGTGTTCAGAGCCAGGGGTTTCAACACCACTGCGCTCCAGGATACGGCCATGCTCTGGGACACGAGGGATCTCAGCACAGCCATGCTGCAGGACACAGCCTCACTTCTTCCCCCTACCAAGCCAGAAAAGCCTTTGGAGAGTGTTACGTGCAGGCCCCCGCTGGAGCCTCACCGGGCCAGTGCTGCCAGGGCAAGTTCTCTCCCCCACAGCGTGTGTGCCCGACTGATCCACAGACGCCTGCAGGTGTGGGCCCCCTGGCTGGGGTTCAGGAAGCATCAGGATACCCAACAGCCACAGTGGTTTCTGTTTCAGCTGAATTTTCAACAGTCCAGGTGTACTGATCCTCCAGGAAGCAGCAAGGCTATCATACAGTGGCAGGACCATTGTGTGATCCTCCAGAAAGCTGCAGGAGCATCTCTGCTGTCTCAGGGGTGACTAGTGGAATGGGTTGGTAGCTCGACTGTAGGCCATTCCCCTGCTCCCTGGCACAAGTTACTTTAATTATATTTTCTTTATTTTTCTTTTTTAAAATTCTTTTATACTGCTGGGGGATAGGGACTCTGTCACCTCTGTGTACTTCTCACCCTTTTGTAGTCTTTTTTCACTTTCATTTAGCAGCTGACTTTTTCCACACTGCCACTAGAGTTATGGTGCGTCAACTCCCCAACTCAAGCTAGGAGCCTAACTGGCAAAACACTGGATTAATCTGGAGTTTAACTAGGCTGCAGCAATGAGGACATGTTCCATCTACACTGAGGCTCTTAGCCTCCTATCTTGTTTACAGGTTTGATGTAGTTAGGACCTAAAAGAGGTTGAAATCATGGAAGCCTTGGTTTATAACTTAACATGTGAGTGGAGAGGGACAGATATCTGTTCTACTAGTGACTTCTCCACTAAGTGTGCCTTGAAGTGGGCTTGTTAAAGCAGGGCTGGGGTAAGAGTGCAGAATACCCTTTTCTGCCCCCCCAACCACAGCTCTAAAATGCTGAAGGTCCTTCTTAGCTTCAGTCTGTGCATGCATCAACATGTTGCCTTCATTTCCTGGTAGCACTGCACTAGCCCAGCCTGTGTTGCCAGAGCTTGTCCATAAGGCAACCACAGATACATGAAAAGTAGTGGAAGACATTAATAAGGGATTTGGACCATTTGTGGAGCAAACGTGTAACGATCCAAGCAGCTGGGAGGGACCTTAACAGTGGGTTAGAAGAATTAACTGGAATGTAGCAATTCCACTGGGGGTGTTCACACTGCTCAGCTTCAGATGTCTCACCCACCAGTATTAGCACAATCTCTCCCTGTTTTCTTCAGAGCTGGTGGAAGGGTGTGTGGGAGAGGGGAGTTTAGCAAGGGATTCAGAGCAGGATGCAGTGTTTGGTGCCTGTGGTGGTAGTGAAGGAATTCAGTCAAGTTGGTGGGACTTGAATTTTATTTCCAGCTGTGTAGCTGCTTTACTGTGCCATGCCCAGGAGGAATCTGCTGTCTCTGTGTCTGTAAATCAGCCAGGATCTCAACTGTTGCCCTTGATTCTTTGCTTAGAGTTTGATTGTGCTCCAAAAAAAAAAAAAAAAAATGCTATATGAAGCACAAAGTGCCATTACTGCTCCTGGAGACATTCTTGCAGTGCCTAACCTGTCCCGTAGAAACCGCGATAGCCTCAGAGCTCTTCCATGCTATCAGTGAGCCAGGGTCATGGGCAGCACGGGCAGCTGCGTGCTCTGAAACATATACGTGCCTCTTTCTTTTTTTCCCCTCTTCCATGGCTGAAGAAGCCCCGTGTTGCCGTACAGCCACTTCTTCAGCAGCCCTGCTGGGATGACCACACAGTTACCTGCGGCCTCGCAGGGGCTTGCTTTGGGGGGAGACCAAAGTGGATGCTGAGGACTTGGGCCTCAGGTGCACATTAGTAAGAAGCTCTGCTTGCAAAGGTGGTCGCCCCTGGGCAGGGGCTCTCTGCAGGAGGATGCAGCAATTTGAGAACCAGCCTGGAGTTGGTGGCCAGCACCGTCTGATCCCTGGTTGCTTCACTCCTCCATGGGATCACAAATGGACTTGGCTTCATGGTCCTGTTTGTCCTGAACTGCTGACAGCACTTGCATTGTTATGTGTTTAGTGTGGAGCAAGAACAGGATAAGGTGCTTGTTTGTTTTGAATACTGGGAAAGACATGCCAGAGATAACATTGAGATGTTGATACTCCACTCTCATTAGTGCCTTGATTTTCCTCAGTTGTGGTTTAAACCCAGCCAGCAACTAAGCACCACAGAGCTGCTCACTCCCTCCTCCCCCTCCCAGTGGGATGGGGAGGAGAATCAGAAAAAAAAAAGTAAAACTCATGAGTTAAGAACAGTTTAATAACTAAAATAAAATATAATAATAATAAAATACAATAATGGTAATTAAAAGGACTGTAATTTAAAACAAACCAAGGAAAAAACAAAAAACCAGGAGAAGACAAGTGGTGCACAATGCAATTGCTTACCACCCAATGCCTGAGCAGTGATCCACCCCCCAGCAAACCCCCCAGTTTATACACTGGGCATGATGTCCTGTGGTATGGAACAGCCTTTGGGCTAGTTTGGCTCAGCTCTCCTGGCCATGCTCCCGCTCAGCTTCTTGTCTGCCTGCTCTCTGGCAGAGCATGGGAGACCGAAAAATCCTTGATTTAGCATAAGCACTATTTAACACAGTGATGTTTTAGTTGATGCTATCAATATTATTGTCATACTAAATCCAAAACACAGCACTGTACCAGATACTAAGAAGAAAAGTAATTCTATCCCAGCTGCAACCAGGACATCTTCCTTGTGAGATCCCTATCTGTAAACCTAGGAATTTTATCACTGTTTTTTTCAGAAACGTGCAGACGGGTGATGAGGACTGGTAGCAATCACAAATGTTGCGTACCTCCAAACTGTAAGCTTGAAACACAATCTGAAGGACAAACTGCTCTGTCTCCTGGTTTGTTTTCGGGTGGGGAGCTGCAGTGTGTCCCTCCGGGTGGTGGGCTGGGGGCTGCGGGTGTCTGGTGGGTGCTAGCTGCATGCCAGGCTGGGGATGAAGGCCGGGTGCTGGGCATGAGGGGTACTGCATGTTGGAAAATGCTCATGGGGCTGGAAAATGGTTATTTTTCTTTTCTGACTCTTTTTATCAATTGATCTGGTAGGAGATCCGCTCTCCCTGCAGACCTGTTGAAGGGATGGCATGTTTCCAGTGAGTAGCTTCATGGCTTTACATTGGTAGAGGGTTCCCTGACCTGCAAGAGTCACCGTAGGGTTGCTGCTGGCAGGGAGAACAGCCCCACGCCTGGCTGGTGCGAGGAACAGACAGCAAACCTCCTCCCTCCTTCCAAACCTGCCTTGGCCCTGGCATGGGGGGGGGGGGGGGGATGTGCCCACCCCTGAGGGAGCAGCAGGTACCAGCCATTAACCTTTCCATGCGGGGATGAGGCAACTCCGCAGCGTTGCAGGTGAGCCCTGGGCATGGGACATGGGATGGACACAGAACCACAGCCCAGGGTTTCTTCCTTCTGCTCCCAGCTCTGTCATGAGCTTCTTGGTGACCTTGGCAGGTGGCTTGGCCTCAGTGATCTCTATGACTTTCACCGTGCCCCAAGGCTGTTCCGAGTCCAGTTGCACAACTGCCCTGGTGCCTACCTGTCACTTGAAATGTTGTCATTCCTGTGCTCAGTGGCCTTCAGATGGATGTTTGCAAAAATAAAGATGATTTCTAGCAAGGTCTCTTCCCTGCCTTTCCTGGGGGCAGCCATTTCACAGTGAAATGCTGTCGTATAAATCAGCTGAGGACCATCTGCTTCTCCAGCAGTGGAGTCCAAGTCCCAGGAGGCCAAGGCTGGTGGCAAAGTTGGAATGCCTCACCCAGGCAAGGGAAGTTGCTGGGAGGGAGGGAAGGGGTCGGGATGAGACATCTGCAAATGTGTCTAAGGCTGAAAAGAGGAACTAAATTTGTAAGAGGGAGGTAAAAACTATCAGCTCACTGGGCTTCAGCTTTTGCTTAACTAAGCTCACAGCAACTGATCATATGTTGCAATGCCACATTATTTCCATGGAGGGGAGACAGAGAATTAAAGTTTCTAAGGCAAAAAATAATAAGAAAAAATATCAGTAAACCCCCAGTTCAGCCTGGGATGGCTGCCCCTGGGGAACATGCTGTCCCTGAAGCTTTGTTATTCTGTGCTTCTGGGGCATTCCCAGTAAAGCTGCCAGTACTCTGAAGGTCAGGATGGCTTCTGCCCTGGAGGCAGAGTGCAGAGGGACTCCAGAAAGCCCTTTGGGTCCTCCCTTTTTTTCCTGGGGAGTCACTGCAGAGTGATGAGATTCTGGGGACAAGCACTGGGAGCTGAGCTGGCCATTCCCCTGCGCTCAGGGCAGCAGCGCTGCTGGGACACCCTGGTCCTGCTGCGGGATGGATGCTCCAGGAGACCCCAGCTCCTTCCCCTCTGCTTTTCCACACCCACCATGGTGCGAGATGAAAGGAGTTGGGGGTACATGGGGAAGCAGAACCAACTCTGAACAACATCACCACTGCAGCTGGGAGCAAGGGGGGGGTCCCGCAGTGTGGGGAGGCCCAGTGGGAGACCCTGATGTCAGAAGGGAAGTGGGTCTGTGTTCACTTTCTTGTCACTCATTCATTTGTGGCGAAGCACACATGAGCAGAGTTACCCCGCGCTGGGGGCCAGCTTAGCTGTGCCAGCTCCAGGATGCTGCTGAGCACCACCTCTGCGGCTAGCCCACTGGGTCCTGGTTTGTTTGCCGGCACTGCGGAGGCTCCGCGGCCAAAAGATCATCCCCAGCTTGTGCTGGGGATGATGGAGGAGAGCTGGAGAGGTGTGAGCTCACACACGCTCTGCAGCGGGTGGGAGAAACACACCTGGAGACAAAGCACAGACCGAACAGGTCCCTGCAGGCTGGCCGGGCCGGGTTTCCTCATCCACCCCGGGGATTTGGGCTGGGTGTGATGAGAGCCTGGGCCCTTCACTGCTGGGAACAGGACGGGACGGGCTGTGCCATAGTGCCTGTCCCCGCTGCAGGCCCCCGATGGGCATGATGAGCCCAAACCATGAAGCAGCTCCGTCCTGACGTGTCCTGGCTGCTGCGATCTTTAATTCTGCAGCTGTTCACCCCACGGGGGACGGTCACGCACCAAAGTCACCCCGGGGAGCTTCCGCGGGGTTGATCCCAGAGCCGATGCGGGTGGCAGCAGTGCCCGGGCGGCTCCACACCCCTGAGCCCTCTGCTCAGATGCCGTCACGAAAGGGGGTGTCCCCGCACCCCCGGGCATCGCCACCCCAGATCCAGCGTGTCCCAGGTAGGTGCCCCCTCCTCGCACCCCTCCTGTCCCTCGGGTGCCTGCCCACCCCAGCTCGGCCGGCACAGACTTTGCCCCTTCCCGGGGGTTTTATTGACTCTGAAGCGAGCGTCAACACAGCGATAGCAGCAGGACCATGACCTCGGATGTGCCGGTGCTTGGTCACCAGCCCCAGGGTGACCCCACGCACGATGCTGGGGGCTGCTCAGTGGGGTGACACAGTGGGGCAAGCTGTGTTCCCAGCTTCAGCCGGGCTGAGCTTGGCAGAGTTGTGACCCAGCTTCACAAAAAACAGGAGAGAGGGCAGCACTGGTCCCTCTGTGCCCGCGGGAGCTGGGGTCTGGGAGTCCGGGTTACGAAACCTTTCCAGCCGGGACCTCCGGGGAGTTTTCCGGAGCTGCTTGTGCAACTCCCCGGCAGCAGCAGCGTGAGCGTTATGAGCAAGGCCTCCCCGAAATGCCCGAGTCACCCGGTTAGCGGTGAGATCAGGAGCATCCCCTTGCTCGGGCTGTAGGCTGGCTGCCCCCCGGCTCCCAGGGAGGGGTGGCAGTGGAGGTGCCAGCCTCCATCCTGGGGTCCCCCAGCCCCTCAGGGTCCTGCTCTGAGCAGCGGCCTCAGGGGGGCTGGGGGTCCCCCCCCTTCCGCGTGCACCCAGGCACAGCCACGGCGGGGTCCTGGGTCTGGGGGTCCTGGGTCAGGCAGGGCCTGTGTCCAAAGCTTCTTTGTACTCTGACCCCAAACCCCGGCCCCTCTGTGACCCCAAACCTGAGCCCAAACCCCAGCCCCTCTGTGACCCCAAATCTGACCCCAAACCCTGACCACCCTGTGACCTCGAATCTGACCCCAAACCCCGGCCCCCCTGTGACCCCAGCCCTGACCCTAAACCCCAACCCCAACCCTGGTCCCACCTTGACCCCAATGCTGGCTGCAATCCTCACCCCCTCCCCAACTACAATGTTGGCCCCAACCCTGCCCCCCCACCTTAACCCAACCCCACTTTGACCCCCGACCCCCTGCTTACACCCCACCCTGACCTCTGACTCCTAGACCTCTGCACCCTGACCCCCACCCTCGGCCATGCTACACCCGAATCCTAATCCCTCCTCTGGACCCCCACCCCACCCTCACCTCTGACCCCTCTGACCACTCCCTGAGCTCACTCCCTGACCCTCACCTTGACCGCTGACCCCGCCCCCACACCCCCCCAGCGCTCCCTGTCTCTTTAAGACGCCCACCCCGACGCCGGGCGCGGTGCGGCTGTACCAACCGCACCGCCACAGATGGCGGGAGGGGGGGGATCGTCACCGCCGGGCTCGCGCTCAGCCCATTGGCGGGCGGCGGGGGCGGAGCGTGTCTCTCCCTGCAGCGTGTGCCCGAGTGGTGCGATCCGCCCTACGTACCGGCCGCGCCGGGGCTGAGGAGGAGCAGCCGCCAGCGGCGGACGGGCCGGGGCGGTGGGTGCTGGGGGGGGGGGTCCCCCGGGGGTCGAGGGGGTCCCCTGGGGCTGGGGGGGGGCCGGGCTCGGGCATCTGGGTCCTCTGTGATAGAGAAGGGAGGGCCCGTATCCCCTGGTAGGGGAGGGTGGGATGAGGGGGCCGCCTGTTACATGGCGGGGGGACACACACTGGTGTGACTGGCCCCCTGTTTTGGGGAGGGCTGGGATGACTGCGCGTGGGCTGATGTGACTGGCCCCCACGGGGAGGTTGATGTGACTGGACCCCCTGTTATTTTTTTTGAGGGGGGGGGAGTTGATGTGACTGGATCCCCTGTTGGTTTTTTGGGGGGGGAGGTTGATGTGACTGGACCCCCTGTTATTTTGGGGAGGGGGGAAGTTGATGTGACTGGATCCCCTGTTGTTTTTTTTGGGGGGGAGGTTGATGTGACTGGACCCCCTGTTATTTTTTTTGAGGGGGGGGGAGTTGATGTGACTGGATCCCCTGTTGGTTTTTTGGGGGGGGAGGTTGATGTGACTGGACCCCCTGTTATTTTGGGGAGGGGGGAAGTTGATGTGACTGGATCCCCTGTTGTTTTTTTTGGGGGGGAGGTTGATGTGACTGGACCCCCTGTTATTTTTGGGGGGGGGGGAAGTTGATGTGACTGGGTCCCCTGTTATTTTTTGGGGGGGGGGGGTTGATGTGACTGGACCCCCTGTTATTTGAGGGGGGGGCTAGAATGACTGGAGCTCCCTGTTATACGGGGGGGACTGGTGTGACTCGGGTCCCCTATACTGGGGAGCGTGGCATGAGTGGGCTCCCTGTTATTTGGAGGGGGGGTGTGTGCCCCTATCATGCCTGGCTACCCGGTGGTGGTGGGGCAGGGGGCTCGCCAGCACCCAGGTGTCAGGGTCCCCCCCCGGGGAGGGGTGCGGGGCAGGGTGGGCAGCCTGGGAAGGGGGAGCCCCAGGGTGCTGCAGGCCCTGCCCCGCTTCCACAGCGCTGGAGAGTGGCTTGTCCTTACCCCACCCCAAGCTGTCGCTGGTTACAAGCCTTCAATGAACTTTTCTGGCATTTCTCTTTTCCTGGCATCTACCTGACACCTTTGCTGCATGCTGGGCTGGCTTGCTGTTGTCTCACCTGTTTCTCTTTATAAACTTCTGGGGTGTTGGAAGACTTTTTACGCCTGTCTCTTCCTGGTGGAATTGCTTTTGAGAGTGAAGTTATTCCCTTAGGGAATGTGCTTGTCAAAGGAAATAATGGAAAACCCCCAGTTTGGGAATATTAAGGCTGGAGGAGGTGAAGAAACCTGGATCACCTTGTTGGGGGTTAGTCATCAGCATGGAATTAATTCTTAGGAAGCTGTCTTACTTGCAGGAGTAACCACAGCTGATGCAGCTTGGAGTGTGCTTTGGTCTGCTGGTGGTTAGACCGTGGGTTAGCTTAGGTTACCTTTCAGAGTGTGGAAAGAAATAGTAATGTTTAGTGGAGCGCACATAGCAAAGAGGGATCGCTGAGGTTTTCTGCCTGATGAGTGAGACTGGAAAACTGAAATGGGTTTGCACTTTTACAGATCTTTTTAAAAAGCAGAAACATATATCCAGTTGAGAAGGTGGAAAACCACAAGGAAGGATCAGGTCTCTGTTTCTAAATTCTGAAAATGAAACAGTGCTAGTGTTGGTGGGGGTATCCCTTTTTCCATAGTGCTTTATGTGGGCCGTAGTGAGGAGCTGCATGATTTAATATTTTTTTTGTTCACCACCAGAGCTGTGCTTAGCAGGGTGCACTGATGCACACATCCTTTTTTGTTAGATAGAAAGGAACATTCTTCCAGTATTTCCGTAGTTCTCTGAGAAATCCTGATGAGCAGTTGTGCACATGCAAAGCAAACTTGCAGATTCACCTACTGCAGATGAGGAAGTCGGTGTTTTGTTGGGGAGGGGCTGGTGAGCCTCCTGGACAGCCCGATGTCCCGGTACAGCTCTTGGTTTTTCCTCAAATGCATCTTTTGCTGGTTGACTGCACTGAAGCAGGGTGTGCACATCACAGAGCATCTGGATTTGCAGAGTCCTGTGTTGCAGGTGGACGTGATGGTGCATGGGAACTGTATTTGCAAAACACTTTCCTATAAAGCAGAGAAGAAGCAGGGAGGATACTGGTGCTACAGGAAAAAAAAACAACTCTGACACAACCGAGCACTCTATTATAACCTTCTGCTGTGAAAGCCTTGGAGAGTAAGGTGAAGAGTGGGCAGGAAGGAGGAGGTAGTGTCACACAGCTGGCTTTCACCCTGCTCCAATTGTGACAGGGTAAAACCTCTTGCTTTGTCATCACTTTGCAGTTGCCTCCTGCTCAGTCAATAATCTCCGGGGTGGTGCTTTCTGGGTAGCCAGGATTGAGCAAGTAAGTGCCCTCTCCAACTTTTATTTTGTTTCTTCCAAGGCAGCTGGAGGAGCTCGACGGGGCCATACGACCAAAACTTGTCTTGTCGTGAGGGAGGCTTTCTCTGCTGCTCACCACCCTTCGTGCTGGAGCTCTCAGGCCGCATCAGCGCTTGCTGGCAGGACCGTAGGTGCAAGGTAACCTCTTCCTTTTGAGCGTCACAGGTTGTAGAGCATCTGTGGGTGCAGTTGGGTTTGGGGAGGGTGGCTGGCAGTGAGAGCTGACAGGCCGGGAGCTGGGAGTGATGGTATCTGTACCCAGTTCACCCACAGTAAAAGCGGCACGTGGAACTCTGTCAGAACTGAAATACCATTTGATCTTTACTCTCTCCTTTTGCTGTTACAACACAGCCAAGATAACATGCTTGCTCGGTCCTGGAGGACTAGGGGAAAGGCTCCCATGCTCAGGTCTGCACTCTGGCCATCTCCTCCCCACCCCTTTCCTCTGGTGTAGAGGAAAGCCACCTGCCAGTTTCCTCTGCTGACGCTGGACTTTGTGCTGTTTCCTGACGTGGGCTTTCCTACTGCTGAAAACACAATTCGTAGAACTTGCATAAGTTGCTTTCCCAACGTGATCATTTGATCCACCTGATGAGATTAATTTATACGTGCTATTGTTGAGCGTGAGTCACGAGCCCTGCAGTGACAGGTGCGTGTCTGCCAAGATTGCTTTTCTATAGAGTATGAAATTTCATACATAAGAACAAATAATTACAGGCTGCTCATAATCTCTTGATGCTTCTCTCAAGTAAATATTCAAGTCAATTGTGTGCTGCTGATCACTCACAGAATCCAGAAAGTGCAGAAGAGGCTTCCCTGGGGCCACAAGTCCAAAGAGTGGCTGAGTTTGACTTACAGTGGCGGATTATTTTAGTATTCTTAGCCACTTCTGGGCCTCTCATTATTCCTTTGCAAGGAATAATGCAGAGTTATTGACTAATTTTCCTTTCTGTCCTCACTGTACAGAGGGGATTGCTGAACGGGGAGGTTTGGAGTTATAGATGGGGTTGGATTTTTCTTGGAAAATCTGGCTCTGGCAGTGCATGTGCAAGTCTGCCAGGATGGTTCAGTAACCACCTTAGGGAGCTGGTAGGTCTGTCTGTGAGGTGCTGGCAGATACGCTGGATCTTGCTGCACGGTTGCTTGTGAAATGCATCTATTTACTTGCTTTCTCGGGTCATTGTTAGCATGGCTTGGTTCTAGCTAGCTCCAAGCTTTGGAGGAGCAAGCTGATAAAATGCCTGCAAGGATTGTGCAAGCCCTGGTTGTGTAAGGGCTGTGTGCATAACTACTGGAGGTAAGAGGAGCAGCTCGTGTTACAAAGGGAAAGAAAAATCCTGTGTCCAGTACCTTTTGTTTATGTTGACCATAGTGGGGTGGGAGTGTGAAGTTGGAGAGCTGTGGGTTTTGCCACTGGGGATCAGCCTTTCAGCCTGTGATCCCACTTACTCCCTGCCCAACTTCTCTGTTGTCCGGTGACCTCCTGCCCGTTTTCAGCCCGGGGACATCCACTTTAGATCTGGGGTCGATCTGCTGGTGCACTCAGCTGTATGTGATTGCAGGGGGCTGGGCTGGGTAGTTGCCTGTATTTCACAAGTGTTCAAAAAAGTAAAATACAGCTCAGATTGCCCTACCCATAGCAGGTAGAGAGGTTCGTAGGGTGACTGCACACACTTCTAATCGGGCAGCCAGATGTGAAGCCTGGGTCTGGGATCAGGACGACAGCTCTCTTGCTGAGTTACCACGTAATGTAGGGATCGTGCAGTAACACCTCCTTCCTGTACAGCAACATAGGACATAGGTTTGTAATGTCTGAAAAGCTCTTACATCCTCAGAGGAAAGCTACCTTATAAATACAAAATGTCTCAGTTCCATATGAAAAGTGCTTGGGTTTCTTTAAATAAATAAATCCCCCAAACATACTGTTCCAATCGGAGGTCTTTACATTTCTTAAACCTTTGCAGGATCTATTTAACCACGTCCCTCTGATGCTCTTCCAGGTGTTTGTTTCAAAGGAAACCTCCCAAATGAGAACAGCTTTAGAGGGTTTTGCTGTCCAAACTTGCTAGTAGAAGAGGTCAAAGTCTGTGGCTACCAACCCCACCTGTAGTGCCTCCCTCCCTGTAGTGGCTGCAGACAAAATCAGAGCTTGTCCCATCAACCCTTAGCAAATGCAGGCAGGGGGTAAACAAACACCCTGGTTGGGGAAACTGAACTTCCAGCTGAGACTCTGGCAGCATTGGGTGCAACACTTGCAGAAGAAATTGCTGAAAAAATACCATATTCCCCCCCTTGATCTTAAAAAAACATCTTCAGCAGGATCTGAACCATGCAAAATACATGCCTGAATGGGTTGCTCCTGAGATTTTGCAGCATAGCCCTCTGAGCAGTTGGTTTGACTGAGTGGTGCCTACGGTAGCTGGCAGTAGGGTGATCTAAAACTCCTGCAGACTTGTCCCAACTCCTGAATATTGGTGGTGTTGAGACCTTTGTTTCTCTTTCAAATGGTGCCTGAAGCATGGTGCTCTGAATTTTTAATTCCCTGTTGGGGAAGGCTGGGGAACAGGATTACTTAGCAGGGGGTGCAGTTTACCTGCCATTGTCAGGTTTTCTTTATCCTGTAATCCTGAACACTTGGATTTTCTGTACTGGTTTATGTTAATCTGTGTGAAGGAATGCCCTCAGGTGCCTAAGGTAGTGAGATGCCCCACATCCTTGTTTAGAGGTTGAGAAATGGGCTTTTATCTGGTGAAAGGAAGTGTGCCAACTCGGTAATGCTGGGTTGCTTTCTTTTAAGGCAACTTGGCAGGTTTGAATTAATTTTTGTGTTGGATAATGCCTCAAGTCCTTTGCTTTAGTGTACTGGACTAACTGAATAGCCCCACCTTGGTTGTACCTGTAGGGTAGAGTTGCTTTCTGCCTCAGTAAAACCGTTCCTATTGTTGTTTTTCTCTTCCTTGCTTTTACAATGGCACTGCTGTCCTTGAATAAGACCTATTGGCCAGAAAAAAAAATCCAACTGTGACAGTGAAAGTTCAAATATGCAGTATTTCAAGCTCCAGACTGACTGATGCACGCTACACATCTGTTTGATGCCTAAAATAGAAGTTCTGCTGACGTCTGAGCTGGTGTGTCAAGGTCTGGCTAGAGGAGACCTCGCCCAGTGAGAGTAATTTGTTCAGTTTCACCAAACAGCTTTGAGCTGGGTGTGTGTTTCTTAGCCCTGCTCGAGGTGTTGCTGCAGCCAAGTTCTCTGTTTAGACTGGGGTTTCTGAGTTGCTGGAAGTGCTGAGAGATCTGTGGAGAGTCACTTGCCCAGTATTGCGTAAAAAAGAGACTCGGCTGCTTTCCACCCTTCTTTACTGAGCTGATGGTGGTTAATGGGAAGTTGTGGGATGTGCTGGAATTTCTTTTAAATACGTGGGAAGAAAGTGATACAGAAGTGCTAGGCGTAGGGAGCCTCGTGTGTAGTGAAAGCCAAACCTTGTCGCAGGCACTGGTGGAAGTCAGCCCTGGACCACCGCTCGTTAGCGCCGTGATGAGGAAAGCGTGCCCTTGGCTCGCCGGGGGCAGTGGCTGCCTCGCCTCATAGTGAGCACCAACACGGGTGCTCGGGCTGAGGCTGATGGGGCGAGGAAGCCCTGAGGTTTCTCACCATGCCTGCCTTCCCCAGCACGGCCCCAGGAACTCGCCCGGGGGATGAGCCCACCCGAAGCAAGGAGCCTGTGCAGGCCAGACCAAGCACAGCCACTCATCTGGCCAGACCAAAGGCCTCTTGTTGAGGGGAAACGCGATCTCTGCACGGCAGAGCTACAGAGAAAAGGCTAATCCAAGGGCTGTTGAAGGCAATGTTAAGTAACCTGGATCTGAGCGCCAACTTCAATGGTCTGCTTTTGTTTTAGAAAGGACCGCTTTTCTTGCCAGGTCTCTTCTTACTAAAAAGGAAGGGAAAAAGAGCTAATTTGAGACTTGTTGAAGCCAGTAACTGGCACAGGCTGATGTAAACAGAATTTCTTATTGTAATTGGTTGCATTCATATCCGAGGAGGAATGAGAGAAGATCTGGTTTTGCCCTGAAGGTCTCCCGGCCTAATACCGCACACTAGCATGCAGGAAAGTCTTCACTGCAGTAGAATTCAGAAGAGGCTGGGCACGGGAGTCTGAACAGAAATGCCATCTCCATTATCAGCCATGCTCTCCTGCTGCTGACCCTCCTCCTTCCTTCCTGACACACGTCAGTAACCCGCCCGTCTCGTATCTTTAGTGGGTGAAAGAAGAAAACCCTTTGCTGGTCACAAGGCTGCATTCCTGCTTGTAAGCAAGTCTGTTCCTTCTCCACTGCCACCGCTGCACAGAGACAGGAGCTTGCTGCAGCTTTCTTCTGGTGCTGCCGTCTGTGCGAGCTCTCAACAAGCTTTGCAGGTGTCATGGCAATAGGGACCTGTGAGAGGGCTGCCGAGTGGTTTTCTTTTTTTCCTCCCAGGTGTTCTAGTTGGTTTTTAAGTTAGTTTCTCTTTATTTTGCCATTGTTGCTAAAGCTCAGGCTGCAGGTCAGTGCTGTACAAACAGGAGTTTCCATTTTCTTTGGCTGCTGTGTGTCCCCTCTGCCCTGAAGCTGTCTTTTGGGTCTGTGCTGTGATGCCAGGGAAAATAACCCATCTATGGTTTAAAAGCATGTTTTTTTTTTTTTTTTTTTTAAGGCTTCTTCTCAAGGCTGATCTGTGTTGTGCCATGGTCCTGTGCAAGGATGGTCAGCACAAGAGAAAGGGTGATCCCTAGGGTAGGTCAGGCACAACGGGGGTGTCTGGCCATGAACACCCACCTGCACCTAGGGAATTTGGGTTGGTCCCTCTCGATCAGAAAAATGGCTGTGGCAGATCTCATGGTGATGCTGACATCCCCAGCCACGCAGAGCTTCCAGTGGTAGGAATCATGACAGCTCTGCTTCCGCTTTTTCCACGAATGCAATGCATGTGCTGAGTCAGTGACACGAGGGTCATCGTCACGTGGCTGCAGAGAGCAAGAAGAGGGCTCTGCCAAATCAGCTCTGCCAGCAGTGTCCCTTTGTCCCCTTCCCTGGCACAGCTGTGCGGGGCTTGTACTGGGAGCTGAAAGCCAGTCGGAAAGAACCAGCGGCTT